CTAGTTCTGAGCCAACTGTGAAGTTTAAAGTCTCTAGGTCATCCGGAAGTTGGTTAAAAATTTATTGCAAGATTTGCCACTGACAAACATACATACTTACATACATTCATACAAAGTAAGTTAAATATACGCTTTTAAAAACAAGTAAGCAAAAAACAAAACCGACTTCAAACTAATTTTAGAGTATCGTTAATTTCTTCATGATCCAATGGTCGGATCTAAACCAAATTAGTCTGGGATCACGTCTGAGGTACCACCCTCCTTTTAAAAAATCGGTTAATATTGTCAAAAGTTATGCGGTAACATATGGACATAAATAAAAAAAATATTCCGACGAATTGATAACCTCTCTTTTTTTTTTGAAGTATGCATAAAGGAATTTTCCCACAACTAATACATCTGTATGTGGAAAAGTATGTATGTATGCATGTATATATGAATGAACCAATATAGAACTTTAATATTTCGATTACAAACTATAATCTGATACAAACAAAGCACATACGGTGGCGAAAATAAAAATAGTTACGAGTCATTTTAACAAGTTTTGACTATTTTTCTTTTCTTCATTTAATGTATGTATATTATTTTATTGAAAGTATACCTCGTAACTATGTAATTCCAGATAAAACAAGAAGAAAACAAGAAATTCAAGAAGCTTCAACAAAATTGCATCAAATTTTCTAACTTTTTAATCAGAATTTTTTGAAAAAAATTTGTGTGCAGTTAGTATAATAAAGTACAAGTTTGAAGTGGATAGAAAATACCGTTGATTTTTTGCATTTTTTTTTTGTTGACGGGGTGACGCATAATTTTTTTATATGCACTAAATGCAAACACTTTCAACAATTTCGAATCTTTCTAATTTTTGTACAAAGCATAAAAATTAAATAAACAAACAAAAAATTGCAAAACTTGTTAAAATGTCGCGTCCCTATTTATAATTTTTCACCACTGTACAGCATCATTACTTGTATCGCCAAATAACTGGAAGTTGCATTTTCGAATTAAAAGTCGGCCAATTGCCCATTTTTAGTTAGAAAAAATTACAATTTAGTGTGATGCAGTGATCAAGTCAAGAAATTCAATTTCAAAACCTGATGAAACTGTCTAAAGCTAAGCACAAGTTACGCGTCATCGGGACGTAAACGAAAAATCACAATACACCTTATATGCAGGTATGTAGCACATATTGCTTGTATATACATACATTAGACTGCATCACTCCCCACAAAAAAAAAAATGGTAATGCGTTTCCATTGGAATTATCAAATCTATTAAATTTTAAGACTTGCACCAAAATATTTCGGAAAAATATTAAGATTTACGTGTGCTGGACCGATTTGAATATTCCTCTAAAAACGGAGTTTTTTATGAATAAAAATAGTTTCTTAAAGAATTTTTTTTTTTTTAAATCCCCTCAGATGACAAAACAGTGTAAGCAAGGCGAGTTAATATAGGGTGATAGCAGGAGTACAAAAACAAAAATTTACATGTACATATTCTGTTTTTGCTTTGGCGGCGTAAACTGCAAACAAAATTTTTGAATTTGACACACAAAATCAGCTGATCTAGTAACACCACTTTATATAAATTCGCCAGGAGTTTAAGCTTAAAAAATCTGTATATAAATAATTAAAACAAATTTTCAACGGAATCATAGTAATGAGATTTTTGTACTGTTGTTTAACTTTTTTCAAAGATTGGCTAACTGGACCAAAACTATTCCGATTTAGTCTTATGAGGTATCATTGGAAAGGTATTTTCTCACCATTCAAAGTATGAAAGAGAAAGGTAGGATGAACGAGGGTCATTCCAAGTTGAATTAAGATGTGTCGGTATTTGAAAAAAATAAATAAAAATGGGACGTGAATGAGTTTGTTTTGCGTAGAAATAAAAAGTGTGAGAAAATACCTTTCAACTGATACCGCACAAGTCTAAATCGAAATAGTTTTGACCCAGTTATTCAAGTTTTTAACCGACTTCAAAAGAAGGAGGAGGTGATCAATTCGTCGGAATATTTTTTACTTTAATTTTTTTATGTATGTTGCCGCATAACTTTGGACCACGTGAACCAATTTCGATAATTCCGCTTTTTTTTTGTCGGAAAGGTGGTATCTCAAGGGTAGTCCCTTACTAATTTCTAAAAATAATTCCTAATTTTTTATATGAGAACTGAAGTCGGTTGTGTTTTTTGCTTAAAAATTACTTGTTCTTAAATCAATCTTTGAAAAAAGCTAAAAAAAAATTATCAAAAATCTTCTTATTATGATTCCGTTGCAAAAATTGTTATGCAGATTTTTTAAGCTTAAACTGTTTTATAATCTGAGGGGATTTTTTTCAAAAAGTTCTTTAAGAAACTATTTTTATTCACAAAAAACTCCATTTTTGGAGGTATTTTCAAATCGGTCCAGCTCACGTAAATCTTAATATTTTTCCGAAATATTTTGGTGGACGGACGTCTTCAAACATAATAACTTTTGTAAACCCGGCGGAAAGGCCGCAACTTTTTTCGTGATGCATTCTAATATATGTACATACAAATGTACATATGTACGCAAGGAGGACTACCACTTTTTGTACGATAATGTAAACATTTTGTTGCTAACTGAACTACCAAATAAAGCATAATCACACACTCCCGTAAATATTTCAACACCTGATTCAGCAAATAGCGCACAATCGCAATTCACTGCTGGTTTTTTCACAGAAGGAATGTAATTTGTTTTAAAAATAAATCCAGTGATAGCTAACGAACAGCAACTATTAGTCATTTTGTTTATTCCCTCGAGGAAAGTTTAATTTGGAGGTAATGTAGAAAAATTCCTCTTCGTTGCTCATGAAAACAAAGCAAACTTTTTGATTCAATATTGCTTTTTTTCGCTTCTTAAGGAAAGGAAAGGGAAGTTTGCTCAAGAACTTTTTGAAAAAAAGTTTCACCATGCATTGCATAGACAGCGATTAGAAAAGTTTCCCACTAATGACATCATATTTTAAAAACGAAATTAACTGTCCAATAAAATGGAATGTTTCCATGTTTCTTGGGAAACTTTATAGCATGCATGAAGGAATGTTTCCCTTTCCTAGAGGGGTCACACAAGCCTCTATGTACAAAGAAATTGCGTCAAACGATTAAGTACATAATTGTGAAAGGTGCATTTACTAATTAAAAGCTAAAGAATCGGATTTGGGCATTCTCCATTTCAAATACCTGAGTATGGAAACTAGAGCAATGATTAGCTTTAAAATCTTCTTCCGCAGCCTCGACTTTACATACATATATTAATCAGAAGGAGCTTGCGTGTAAAGACTCACGTTCATACTTCACTGAGGTAAACCAGCAATCTTTTTTCATGGAGAAGTCACCTGTCAGTCCATCAGCTATGAAGTTTTCTGCTATATAGCTGCTACCTACCATCTTTATAAGCTGAATGGCCATGTATTAATATGCACCAAATTTTCTGGATTTCATTTAATCATGTTAGGGCCGTTAAAGCGTCTATTTTAAAGCATAGTTAAATCATTGGTTAAAATTAACTAGAAAAACTTTACAAGAAATGTTCTGTAGTTAAGTTTAACTAACGATTTAACTATACTTTAAAACAGATAAGTTAACGGTCCTAAGTAACTATTATATAAATACATCGACCAAATTAAAACAAACAATTTGGGAAAGTAGGTGCTGCGACTTTTTCGAATAGTCCTGAAAAAATCTCACAAATCCACCCTAAACCTATATACCAAATAATTCTTTTTATTTTCTTTCAATAACACTGTAGGTAAATTTAAAACTTTTGAAATATCACATGGAACTATATTTTGGCCTCTAGATTACGATGTCGTTTTCAGAAAATCCGTACCACGTCCAAATTTTGTGATATTTAGGAGAAAAGTTTTAGAGCTCTGACGGTGAAATTTTCGTCGCTTAAAACACTGCGCTGAGGTTTTGAACTGTTTCTTTGAGCAAAGGTTTTGATAGCTGATCTTACTTAATTGTGACCTTCTTAGTTCAATGGCGTCCACCGTTTTGCCAAATTTGCTCCAGTTTTTGCGATAACTGTACTTGAAAATTTGCTTAAATTTTAACTTTTTTGTTAATAATTCCCTCAGTTTTAAAGTTATTTTACCAAAATTTTGCACGTTACTATTTTTTGATATTACCTTAACTATTTCTGAAAATAATCGAAATCAGTTCACTTAAACATATAGCTCCCTTACAACTGATTGTTCAGATATGTGGTTTTGCTTTATAACTCATATTTTATTTCGTAATTTTTTGTAATTTTATTAATTTGTACACTATTTGGACCTAAACTTGGATTCTTTTTTTTTAATTTCATTCTCGCACGTGTTTGCATATTTTGACAGTTTCTATTGTACGAATGGGTTTTTAACACCGTTTTTTTGCTGTGAAAGCTGTTGTTCGTTAAAGCCAAAGTGAAAGTCTCTCAATATTTTGACGTGATACGGATTTTCTAAAAACGCCATCGTAATCTAGAGGTCAAAATTAAGTTTATCTGTTTGGTCGTTTAGCTGTGATATTTTTGCCTCCCTACTTTGTAATAAATAGGGAACATTTAAAAATTGATTTTTTTTTTAACAAAGTAAGTTTTCCCCACTGTCCGGCCCACTATGTGTGGCATCACATTTGCCTTATATTAAGTTCTGGCCGAAATTTAATTGAGTCAATTAACCTTTTAATTGAGCTACCGCTTTTTGGTGTCAGCAGTCAGCTGCTCGATTAGCTACAGTGATGGAAAAGTTGGTAAAATCGTACCTTTATATAGTTTGAAAGTACATTCGGCACAAACACACCAT